CGTGCAGTGAGGGGCTTGGAGAGGCAAACCCGGGTGCAATGTAGACAATGAAATTCTCTTTTAGGCCCTAAGTTTCAGAGAAACAAGATTCTTTGCCTTGCATAAGAGGCACAGTCTTGAAGTAGGTATCTGAAAATCAAGATTTTAGAAATGGATTCACATGGAAAATCCATGAACTTGTTACCTGATAGCCTGGCCTTTGATAAACTGTGAAATAAAGCCTTTCAGAAACGGAGGGACCCTTCAGTAATTTGTTTTGGTCAATGTGGGCGTTCACGAACAAAGGCACAGCAGTGTTGCAGTGGGTGGAGACAGAGAGATGGGGGAGGATGAGGAGAGCCAACACCTGTGAGTACCACTGTGGACCAGGTACTTAATCTCATTCATTCCTGAAACACCCTCAGGAGGGAGGTATCATGCTTCCTCTTGCAGGTGAGCACTCAGAGACCCGGACACTAGGTACCCTCGCTAGAGCTCAGCCGGCTTGTGGGTGGAGAATGCAGGAAAACGCACCTGGGTTTGTCTGAATCTGCACCAGACACGTCTCCTACCATTCACCTTTCTTCCACTTGCAGTTGACCAAAAGTTAAGTCGCCTTTTCTTAACTTTTATTTCCAAAATCGATATGCCATGAGACATAATTCTGCAGAATATTAATAGGTGTCATAAAGGTGAAAAAAAATGTGCCGCAAAGGTTTCTTTACTATAGCCCCTCACAAGCGTTAATGTGCTAATTTATACTGTGCATCTCCAAGATCAGGACTTATTAGGTGTCATGTTTCCTTTCCCAAAGGCTTTCCTCTCGGGAGAAGGAGATCATGTGGGTTTGGGAAACACTCAACAGAGACAAGCTATTGTACTTTTCTCCCCCTCTGCTATGTTTACGTCCCCAAATTCACATGCTGGAATCTGAATGCCCAATGCGATGGTATTAAGAAGTGGGGCCTTTGGGAAGTGATTAGGTCATGAGCGTGGAGCCCTCACAAATGAGATTAGTGCTTTTATAAAGAAGCCCTTCCACCCTGTGAGGATACAAGTCTGTGATGCCAAAGAGGGCCCTTACCTGACCATGTTTGCACCCTGACTTCCAGCCTCCAGAATTACGAGAAATAAATTTCTGTTGCTTATAAGTCACCCAGTCTGTGGTATTTTGTTAAAGCAGCCTGAAAGGACTAACACACCTTCCTTTTTTTTTTTAATTTTTTGAACTTATTAAAAAATTCATGATAAAAAATTTCAAACAGTATATATAAGGATATAAAATCAAAAGTAAAAACCTACTTATTCTCTCTGCCAACCAGTCCCATTCCCTAGAGGTAACCGCTGTTCGTAATTTCTTATGTATCTGCTTCAGAAATTCTTATGTGTATAAAGCATATATGAACATCCTTTTAAAAATAGCACAACTGGGGCAAAAGCGT